ATTAATGGACTGATCATCTTAATAAAATATCCTCTCACTGCAGGCCAGAGAGGAGAAAATAAGTGGTATAACAATTAAGATGTTCAGCATTCCTGCTCTGGTAAATTTAGCTGGTGACCAGCTGCTCCTATCTTCCAGTATACCTACTAGTATAGCTTCTTAACCAGGATAGTCGGGAATACCATGTGGTTATAGCCTGGGTCAGGTGCCCTGATAATACATGTACAATATGTGATCTGTTCAATGAATTTATAATAATCTTATATAATACAGTGTGTATAATTCTTGTTTACTGCTGAAGAGAGGCACAGAAGAAAGTTTCAGAAGCTACTACATGCACAATACTATGGACTGAAAAACTGCTTCTCAGTGTATTCTTTAATTATCAGGAGTAAAATGCAGAACATGTTATCTGTGATGTACCCCCCCTCCCATTTTAACCCCACCCCCATCCCCACACCTACTATCTTGTTTTTCAAGATTGATTTCTAAAGCAATATCACAATACAGTTCAAAAGACCGACAGAGAAACCAGTATGCCAGCAGTGCAGCAATATTACCGGTGTATGTAGCAACTGAGTGCGCAATACAAGCCGCATGCTATTTATAGGCGATACCAGCATTTGGTTGTATTCACCTGAACATACCATAATTATAAAAATGTTGGTTGAAAAAAAATCTGAAGTATATGTAATGGTGGTGGAAGAGTATACCTTTGGATGAATTAGCCAAAGTTGATATAATATGGCTGCGGTCTTGGCAGCAAGAATATCATACAATTTAGATAAAGACCTAAGAAAAAAAAAAAAAAGAGAAAAGAAAAATAGACTACCCAGCTGTGATTAGGCAACATACTTCAAACAATTAACTATGCTTGATTTCCATGTTTCTGGCCAAGCTGCAGTACAGAAAAAGTACTGAAGACTTCAAAGTACATGCTAAAACAAGACCCCTTCTTGATCTAAAAGACATGTTTGGACAAAGCTTGAGAATGGAACGGAGCCTTTGATTTCATCATTAGACACTCCTGTATGTGTGGTCAAACTAGATGTGTTCAATCTATTGTTCCTGGTGGTGATAAACAGTTAAATTTACAAGGACTGTGAGGAAACAGTGTGCAGTCATCCCAAGTGACCAGCAGACCAGCAGTAATTTAAAAAGCCACCATCCATTTTGCAGTCAGGCCTTGGGTGTGGGAAATTTCTCATGACTGCTGATCTGAATTTTCATGTTTTTAAAAGTTTTCAGTATGCCTCACACACGTGCAGGCACACACAATCACATGCACGCACGCATACAGAGAGAGAGATTGTTCTTTTTGATTATCTGATACAAATCCCTGTTTAGTTATGTTCCGTTCAATGGATGATGTGATGATCTGTGCGTTCTAAGATGTATCTTGTCTGAGCGTGCCTCCAGTCTTATTAGTTCAAGGTGAGAACAGATGTGTTGGCTGGGACTGATGGATGTCTGAGGAGAGATAGAGGAAACAAAAAGGTCACTCTGGACTCAAAGGTTACTTCATTGTACACTTCACTGGAGCAAGAAAAATAATAATTAGATTAAAAAATGTGTAAAAAAGGTGGATATTTAGATGTGAAAATGTGAAATTTTTTTTTTTTGACAAATTATTGTACATAACGACTTACCTAAGTATTTGTGTGTGTGCGTTGGATTACACGTGCATCATTTACAGTGTGCTAAATACCAAAGAGATAGAGATTGTTTTAGTTGCCAAAGTATATATGTTATAGTTTATTCTCCCCCGGTGAAAGTGGTATAAAAAGAATTTATCAATGAAAGGTCTTTCTGTCTGGCTGTATTGCTAACTGTCTGTCTGTGCCTGTCTCTGTGTCTGTCTGTCTGTCTGTCTGTCTGTCTATGAGTCTGGCTTGCTGTCTGGCTGGTTGGTGATCTATATATTCCAACCTGTTTAAATAGGCTCATCTCTTTCCCCGGGCATTTATTTCACCCTATCTGGGTTATCAATAAAATACCTATAGATAACTTTAAGTCCAAGCTCCCATGCTGATGTGCATGTGTACAGGTGCAAATGAAGCAACCCTTAACGCCAACATTGTTTCACGATATTACCATGTTCCACTACATCGATATTTCACTGGTGCCCTTCAGGATTAAGAGCAGCATACCCAGCCAGTATCACAGACGGACTGCATGATAAAATGGAACACGAGGCGCGCAATGTCAGACTCGTAGCCAGGAATTTGATTGGGGGGGAGGGAGGGGAGGGGATGGGAGANGATTTCTAAAGCAATATCACAATACAGTTCAAAAGACCGACAGAGAAACCAGTATGCCAGCAGTGCAGCAATATTACCGGTGTATGTAGCAACTGAGTGCGCAATACAAGCCGCATGCTATTTATAGGCGATACCAGCATTTGGTTGTATTCACCTGAACATACCATAATTATAAAAATGTTGGTTGAAAAAAAATCTGAAGTATATGTAATGGTGGTGGAAGAGTATACCTTTGGATGAATTAGCCAAAGTTGATATAATATGGCTGCGGTCTTGGCAGCAAGAATATCATACAATTTAGATAAAGACCTAAGAAAAAAAAAAAAAAGAGAAAAGAAAAATAGACTACCCAGCTGTGATTAGGCAACATACTTCAAACAATTAACTATGCTTGATTTCCATGTTTCTGGCCAAGCTGCAGTACAGAAAAAGTACTGAAGACTTCAAAGTACATGCTAAAACAAGACCCCTTCTTGATCTAAAAGACATGTTTGGACAAAGCTTGAGAATGGAACGGAGCCTTTGATTTCATCATTAGACACTCCTGTATGTGTGGTCAAACTAGATGTGTTCAATCTATTGTTCCTGGTGGTGATAAACAGTTAAATTTACAAGGACTGTGAGGAAACAGTGTGCAGTCATCCCAAGTGACCAGCAGACCAGCAGTAATTTAAAAAGCCACCATCCATTTTGCAGTCAGGCCTTGGGTGTGGGAAATTTCTCATGACTGCTGATCTGAATTTTCATGTTTTTAAAAGTTTTCAGTATGCCTCACACACGTGCAGGCACACACAATCACATGCACGCACGCATACAGAGAGAGAGATTGTTCTTTTTGATTATCTGATACAAATCCCTGTTTAGTTATGTTCCGTTCAATGGATGATGTGATGATCTGTGCGTTCTAAGATGTATCTTGTCTGAGCGTGCCTCCAGTCTTATTAGTTCAAGGTGAGAACAGATGTGTTGGCTGGGACTGATGGATGTCTGAGGAGAGATAGAGGAAACAAAAAGGTCACTCTGGACTCAAAGGTTACTTCATTGTACACTTCACTGGAGCAAGAAAAATAATAATTAGATTAAAAAATGTGTAAAAAAGGTGGATATTTAGATGTGAAAATGTGAAATTTTTTTTTTTTGACAAATTATTGTACATAACGACTTACCTAAGTATTTGTGTGTGTGCGTTGGATTACACGTGCATCATTTACAGTGTGCTAAATACCAAAGAGATAGAGATTGTTTTAGTTGCCAAAGTATATATGTTATAGTTTATTCTCCCCCGGTGAAAGTGGTATAAAAAGAATTTATCAATGAAAGGTCTTTCTGTCTGGCTGTATTGCTAACTGTCTGTCTGTGCCTGTCTCTGTGTCTGTCTGTCTGTCTGTCTGTCTGTCTATGAGTCTGGCTTGCTGTCTGGCTGGTTGGTGATCTATATATTCCAACCTGTTTAAATAGGCTCATCTCTTTCCCCGGGCATTTATTTCACCCTATCTGGGTTATCAATAAAATACCTATAGATAACTTTAAGTCCAAGCTCCCATGCTGATGTGCATGTGTACAGGTGCAAATGAAGCAACCCTTAACGCCAACATTGTTTCACGATATTACCATGTTCCACTACATCGATATTTCACTGGTGCCCTTCAGGATTAAGAGCAGCATACCCAGCCAGTATCACAGACGGACTGCATGATAAAATGGAACACGAGGCGCGCAATGTCAGACTCGTAGCCAGGAATTTGATTGGGGGGGAGGGAGGGGAGGGGATGGGAGGGGGGGGGTCCTTAACAGACTTAACCATTTCAGAAGGAAGTAGTCTGGATATATTATGATGTGCATTTTTTTGTCTGTTTCCTAGATGTCCCATTGATGTGAGTTGTATATATATATATTAAAGATGTGTGAATGCAACTTATAAATAATTTTTATAGAATATTATGATTATTAAAAAAATGCCAATATTATTGCACTGAAAAGATAACCCCACCAAATAGCTGATATCTGGTTTATAAATCATACATTACATAGCCAGTCTTTTATAATAAATAAATATTGTCACTGTAGCTAGGTGATTGTTTCTGTTACCTAATTGATTATACCTGTAAACATTGTTGTTCAGTCATATATACTGTACTAGTATACGTCTGCTGTCGTGTTATACATAACTTTTCCAATGCAAATTTTCTAATCAGTGCGTACCTTTAGTAGTCTCTTGAATAAATTTGTATTTAAAATGAACTATATGTAGTCCATTATATGCAACTGACATGTGGGTGAAACTGAATATTTTATATCAGAATATCAGATGCCTACTTCAGAGTTAAACTGGCCACCTTTAACAGCATATAATATACCTTCAACCTTTGTGTCAAAAAGAATAAAAACAATTAAATTTGTTTGAAAGCCCCCATTGATCACTAATGAGGTATGCCCTGTCAAGTTCTGTTAAGAAAAATACAAAAAATTTACCAGGCCACCTTCAGTTTTACTGTCTTTCGGCATATCGTTTAAAGTGAACATGACAGACTGCATTTGTAAGAGATGAAATTCTTCTGAATTTATCAGGAAATTCATATATTTGGCTGTTGTATTTACACCCTCCCCCCCCCCCCTCCCCATGTAACACTGTATGCACATTCTGTGCTTGTGATTTCCATATTTTTTAAAGATTCACTCTCAACTCCAATTCATACTTATCATTATTGTTATTATTTATAATTTTAACCTATATTCCAGACAGCAGCTAGGGTCAGTCTTTGACCTGTTAGAGGTAGTGGACGTACTGGACAGCAGAGACACCATTAACCTTGGTCTCCTGGAGCGTCCAGACCTCGGGGTCACCTTCACCAAGTTTCACGTCTGGAGGCTGACACAGTTCAAGAAATGTGTGTTCATGGACTCTGATACTATGGTAACTAAGACGACTTATCTCTCTCTCTCTCTGTGTGTGTGTGTGTGTGTGTGTGTGTGTGTGTGTGTGTGTGTCTGTTGCACATTCTTATTTGCAAGGGGGAAGAGACGTGTTTAGAATCGCATACATTTGTACACATGCACACACATCCACTTTCTTATAACCGTCTCAATTCGATACTGCAATTAATGCACATAAATTAAATAAAAGTTGATCAAAAGCTTAAGCAGGTGTCATATTACAAAACTGGTACAAATACATTAGAAAAGTACTGATTCACTTTGCAGAGGGGTCATTTTATGTAAATTGAATATGTGATCCTTCAAGTAAAATAATGACTAATATTTTCTGTTGCAGGTGCTACAAAACATAGATGAACTATTTGAGCGTGAGGAGTTTTCAGCGGCGCCAGACCCTGGCTGGCCAGACTGCTTCAACTCAGGAGTGTTTGTACTGCAGCCCTCTCTACAGACATACCAGAACTTACTGGCCTTTGCCATGACAGTAGGGAGTTTTGACGGTAAGCCGCCCCGCCTCCTCCTCCTCCTCCTCCTCCCTCTTTCATTCTGCACCCCCTCTCTCTCTTTCTCTCTCTCTCTCTTTCTCTCCACCCCTTCCCCTTTTCTCTCTCCTCTCCCTTCCTTTCAGGTTCAAAGAATCTATAACAGGGCTGAGACTCTCGGTTGATTTCCGACTTTTTGGAGACCAAAAATAGCATTGGTCAAGGCGGCCCCCTGAACCCCATGCCATATTTTCCAACTTTTTCACCAAATGGCAGTCTCATCCTTGCTAATAGCAAATAGAAGTAATGGTTGTTCAGTAATTTGACTTATTTTAAAATGTAATGGCCCAGTGTGGGAACCTAGTTAACACAGCACTCTAGTAATGTGCCAGTTGGGATTAACATTGTGTGTGAAACCAGGCTGTGAGGAACCCAGGCATGAGATATCACAATAAGGAATGGAGTCTAGATGTATAAATTATAATCAACATGTAAGAGTTCCTCACACCCCTTTGCAAAATATCAGACCTTCTGCAAATTCGTGCTGCATGCAAAATGAAAAGTTTGGGGCAAATTGGCTGCAATATTGCCATAGACTGCAAATTTGCAGAGAATTTGCTGCAATATGGCTGCAAATTAGCAGAAAATTTGGAAGACTGTCTGGATACACCCCTATTAGATGGCATTTTGTAGATTTTATGTACAGTAAATCGCCGTTTGTTTCAGGTGGAGATCAGGGCTTACTCAATCTATACTTTAAAGACTGGGCGTACACAGACATCCAAAAACATCTTCCCTTTATCTACAATGTTGTATCCCAGGCATTTTATAGTTACCTGCCTGCGTTGAAACAGTGAGTATAGTCCTTGTGTGTGTGATAGTTTCCTTGGGAATGGATCCTAAATGAATGGGTCCCCACTGAAACCTTGCTTGAATACTGCACTGTAGATGATGTTGTGTATTTGTTGTACATAATATGAAGTCTTCAAAAGAAAAGGAAACACCCAAAATGATTGCGACTTTTATTGAATTTCATTGAATAATTCTTTAAATTTGATCCCAATTTCAAAGTTGTCCACCACAACCATTTTGTATTAAAAAAAAGAATTAATAAAAAAAAAAAAAATACCGAAATTTTCTGATGTTTTTCTCCCAGATTTGGTGCCAATATCAAAGTGGTCCACTTCATACAATTTGTTACACAGTATTTAAAAAAAGAAATAAAAGAAAACACTGATGTTGTTCTCTCTCAGATTTGGTGCCAATATCAAAGTGGTCCACTTCATCGGCCCAGTGAAGCCATGGATGCACAAATACAACACTGCTACAGGAGAGGTGATCCCTGAACCCGGGACAGGGCACCATGGTACCTTCCTCCAGCAGTGGTGGAACATCTTCATGGAGTTGGTCCAGCCCAAGATGGACCCTACTTATCTGGTGAGTAGATGGCCTGAGGTCGGGGAGGGGGGGGGGGGCAGATTGGCAAAAGAATTAAATATAGAAAATTGGTCCTGATTTTGTGACAAATTAATCTTATTGATGTTTAAGGTAAGTCTGCAGTTGTCTGCTTACACAGAATAAGCATTGGTCTGATCTGAAATATCAGCCATCTTTCTTGTCATAAAACGGGTGCTATATTTAATTTAATTGGACAACTGCTTATTTATCTTGCATCAGAAAATACTTGTTAATTATTTTAAGACTGAAATTTTTCAGACTACTATGGCCCCAGAGAAATTAGTAGTATTCTACTTAAATTGATTAAAATTTTGGGACTTTTTATGAAAAGTAGCTTGAGATTTAAACAAATAATTCCTTTATGTGAAAGGACTGCTGCAGATTTATCCAAGATTTAAACTTGGGAAAATTTTTGGTTTTAAAATAAGGACCAGCTAATAGCCGTAATTCTTTTGTGAAGCTGCATGGGGCTTTGTGTGATTTAACCATTTTATAGCTTTGTAGTTAGTTTATGTAGGATTATGAACAGATTTTAGATGTGTGATAGAATATTTTTCATGAAGAAAGAATTAGTACTCTTTAGTAGCAAGTTTGCTGTGATTGTTTGCAAAATGAGTAATAGAGGAATTTCTTTATCAGAAATATTAATGGGAGAAAATCAGAATTATGTAAAAAATATGTAATAATTACAAGAGAGAAAATTGTATCGCAATTTAGCAGTGATATGTACATGTAAGCTGGAGAAGGCAAAAGTTGTTTGCCAATTTAATTTGCTTCAGCTACAGGTTGTGCATCACAGTATTGTTTAGAAATGTTTGTCGTATTTTTATTGCTGGCTTATAAAGGAAGAAGATGCACTGGTAGGTTAAATGTCAGCTCTATCTGTGTTTTTTCTTCATTTTATTTTTGTCTTTGAATTTCTTTCTTTTCTTTTATTTTCTCTTCAGAACAACAGTCCCCTCTCCCC